CCTCCTCTATCTAATGGTGATGTCAAAACTTTCCGCGAACATCATCATTTTTTCGCTAATAAATTTTATTTCAAAAAATCGAATTTATATCCCGATTGGACTATATGGTTTTTGGCTATATCCTGATCGGGATATATTTTGAAACGGGATATAGAGCATGCGTCTGTACTGCATGATAGTATTAACTTTGTGATGAAGAGAAGATATGAAAATAAGTAAAGTAATTCAGAAAAAAATTGAAAAATCCTGAGCGTTATGATAAACGAGGGATGTATGAGTTTGGCATACATTATTTTACTCAGATGTAAATTAATAATGTGTGCGATGCCAAATAGAAAAACTGTCAGCCTGTTTAAGGGATTGCATTGAACTCAATAGCCTAGCAGCGATGTGGCCAGAATTTTTTGCAGCTGATTCCTTTTAGGACTTTCGCAGCTGATTACAGAAACTTTTTACCAGTTTAACAGATATCTCTTTCACTTGATGGTTTTCCAGAAACCTTGTAAAAACCCTCTGGAGATCCTGCAGAGATCTCGGAAATTGTTCTGTCGAATTCCGGGTGTATTTTAACCTATTTGAGAAGAGTAAACGAAATTTGAGTCAAAATTACGAAAGTTAAAAAATTACATGGCCATTTACCTTTCAGTTTCAGTAAAATTCGTTTTATTCAATAAGGAAAACAATTTTAGAAAAAGCTCGACATATTTCTAAAGCTGAAGAGCGCGCTGATCTGATGGTGGTCGAATTAAAGGTCTAGCCCTTCTTGATACTTTTTGCTCAGAAATGTTCTAACTACCAGTCGTTGATGTTTAGGGCCCTGACAAAGAGACTCGTTTTGGTGTTCAGACTCAAGAGTAACTTGTTTAGATTCCGGTTTCAATGAGGATCCCAAAACTGATAAAATTGAGGCGTTAAAATGCTTTGGTAAAATATTGCAAAGGTTTTTCTCAAAAGGAAAAATTTTGACGTTTTTGGAGTCTTTTTGGGATTTTGAATTCTTTCCAGTAAAGGAAAGGTTTTCCAAAGCTGGAAAGGTGATATTCGTACTCAGTGCGTTGCGGGCTTTTAGAATATGTATAATAAAGTCAGAAAAACAAATCCGCTGTAAGTTTGTTATACATGCACCTTACAAGATGAAAGACTATACACAACCAAAACTGTCTCTTGTTATCACTATCATCAACTGAGCTTTTTTGATCTTTCAAGACATAGAAAAGCTTCATTACAGGCAGTATAAAATATCTTTCTAATAAGGTGGCACGACCCATCAACGCTCATATGATGATTACGTGGCTGTAGCCTACTTCATAGTCCCGGTCTTTATTGTCAATCAGCGTCGTGGCGAGACAAAACAGAAGAAGTTGTGTGACCTGTTAGAAGAACGCTGAGAAAATCTATCTGAAACATAAAAGACGTTTTTCGAAATCACAGAACATTCTACCAAATTAACTGAATGGAGCGTTTCAGAAGTTCGTGACGAGAGAAACCAAGTGCTGTGCCGCATCAACTGGAACTCTGTTCGTGATGGAAATTAGCGGTCGAAAAAAATGCATAAAGAAAAGTTGAGTCTTTTAGAAAATTCATTTTTTCCCTATGAACACCCCGCTTTTTGGCAACCTCGTGAGAGACTTTTTGGTCAGTTTCATGAGCTCCTTCGAATAAGACGTTGTTGGAAAGAAACGGATGAAAATGACAAAGCAAGACGCGAAACACCGAGAAGTCGGACTTTTGAGGGTTTCTCAGACCCCCGTCAGATTTCCAAGCTCATAACTCCGTCAAATAAGGACCCGACAGTCTAAGATTTTCAAAACCTGAATTTTCTGTGAGGAATCGAATGAGAACAAAAAGGTTGCAGTTTTTTTCTGACCATGTGATGACCCTCTGACACAATGCTCGATGGTGTCGCGAAACCTCTCTTAACTATTATAAATATCAATATATATATGCGAAATTTATGCTGTAAAAAGAAATAGTTTCAATTTTAGATCATTTAAAATAAATCATATGATTTTTATGTAGATAACAACTGTGAATGTTCTTTTCGCTGAATGACATCCAAAAGATAGCCGATCCAGAACTCTTGACAATTAAAACAAACAGGTAACAGAGATAAGTGGCGCAAACTTTCGATTAATTGATAAGTTCCCCCATGGACTATACATTGGAAGGAATATTTGTTACTACCCGTCTCTTCAGACATTTTTTTAAAGACTTTAAGCGTTTTGTGATAGTTATTCACTATTTTGGATAGAATTCGCCAATTACCGTTTGTCACACAGTCTTCGGCTGATTGTATTTGACCTTTATCGACCTTGAGCATAACAAACTTGATAATTTTAACTAATGGATTTGTTTCCAATGATAAATTACAATTTAAATCGTTATTTGAATTTGAGATCGTTACTTTTGCGGGTTGTATTTTCAGTAATTGGGATTCTTGCCATTTTTTTATTCGATTGAGAAGACCTTGTCGATTAAATTCAAAGCCATTCTCCTGTGAAAAAACAAATCAGACAGACTTTTTTATAGCAAAAAATCGATAAACATCTCTACGATTGAATATCAGTGCTTTGAACTTACTAGTGTTTGTTCACTTAGTTCGACAAAGACCTTCATAGTCACGCCAGACGAACCCCCGTATCATCAACTGAGCTTTTTTGATCTTTCAAGACATAGAAAAGCTTCCATTACAGGCAGTATAAAATATCTTTCGAATAAGGTGGCACGACCCATCAACGCTCATATGATGATTACGTGGCTGTAGCCTACTTCATAGTCCCGGTCTTTATTGTCAATCAGCGTCGTGGCGAGACAAAACAGAAGAAGTTGTGTGACCTGTTAGAAGAACGCTGAGAAAATCTATCTGAAACATAAAAGACGTTTTTCGAAATCACAGAACATTCTACCAAATTAACTGAATGGAAGTGAAAACTGAAAAGCCGGAGGAATCTGCACCTCTCGACGGTTTCTCTATCCTGAACAGAACAACGGCCTAGAGTGAGGTGTAGAACGCAAGAAGAAAGGGCAAAATATTTCCTTTTAATCGTTTGTAATAAGGTTGAAAAGTAAACGAAGACGAAACCATTCAAAAAAAATTTGTTGTCCTTTGGATTGACATCGGTTAATGGTTTATAATGGTTTATTCCATTAGTATTTATTCATACAATGACGGAATTTATTTCCAGTGACACAAATTTTCACTCGTGGAATGGACACCTGGGAACGTTCCCTCGTCAGTTGCGTTCTCTTCTCGTCCATCACATTTCATGTCTTGTGCTCGTGTGACGACTTCAACCGATTATTGTTCATATCCGGTTTTGTACATCATGATTATGATAGATTTTGTTTTAGATTAAAAACTTTCGTAACACTTCATATGGGTCAACGAATTAGCTGTGTCGAGAATTCCTCGGCGTCTGGGACTGCTGTTTGGGAAGTGGTTAACGACGAGGTGATGACATTAGCAAATAATTACCGATACAGTCTGCAGCAAACATGGGTAAAAAGGGGTTTTCTTCAAATTGTCAAGGATATTCTCCGACTTTATATTAAGTTGGACTTACCACGATTAATGACACGCTACCAGTGTGAAAAAATTGAGAAATACTTCAACGAATCTTGTGAAAACGAGGAAGTGAAGGCAATAATTAAAGCATACACGGCAACTAATGGCTTTTCTAGATACATTAATATGGACTTAGCTAATCTGGTCAGCACCAATGATTGGCGGGACATTCGTATAAGTCCAAATGCTCCTGAAGATAGACAATATTGGGAAGGCGCCCTGGATGTTGTTTGTATCATCGTCCATCATCCTGGACGGAGTACCTATGAAGTGAAGCAAGAGACAAAGGTTTTTCGTGGTATGAGCATATCAAAGAATTACTTGGATAATTTTCAAGACGGTACTTGTCTGACGAATAAGACATTTTTATCGACTTCCATAACACAAGATGTAGCAGAACGGTACTTGCACACAGATGAGGAACTGACTGGCTGTCTGTGTATTTACACAATTGTACCAAGTGATCGACGAACTGCTCTCCATATTAAAGACATATCGAAAATAACCGACGAAGAGGAAGTTCTTATTTTACCCTACACGACATTTAAGGTACAAAGTAAAACGATCAGCACAGACCCAGAGGCACGGATTCGATGCTTGATCCAGTTACGCCAATGTTCAGATTTCGATAATGAAACTAATTGTTCCTTTTGATTATTGTAACTTGTGCATTTAAAAATAAAAAACACGGCATTTTCTATTCAGTTTGGTCCTGGCAAGCGAGATGTTCGAGATCGATCAAAAATTTTTACTATTTGTGAAAACTCAAAACTGGTTGTCACTTCGGAGAGTTTCAATTTCTGAACATGAAACTGGATATATCAAGTTCCTAGTTTCCTTCTTATAAAAGATTTTTTTCCCCCGGATCTGGATCAAACTCGTTTGGTGGAGTTCTCATTCTTGTTCATTCTGCCGTTATTTCCGACTTAACTTTTTTCGATTTAAATCTTTTTTGTGTGTCCGTCAATCTGGGGTGTTGTACATTGAGAGTGATTGGTGTCTACAGCCCACCCGGCTCACAAATGCCTGAAGCAACAATTCGTGATCTGACTAGCTCAACCCCAACAATAATTGCCGGCGACCTTAAGGCAAAATCACCATCATGGGGTTGTACCAGCCACAATATCAAAGGACGTCAGTTGGAACCAATGTGTGAAGATCTCGGACTCCAGATTAGTCAAATCAATGGGCCAACATCCAAACGTTCATCCAATGTAATTGATTTGATCTGTTGTTCGGAGCCATTGGAAACAGTATCACGGATCAATTATGGGACAAGCGACCACTGACCCGTTTCTTACACCGGACCATGGTCTACATCAGCAACAAATGTGTTTCGGGATGTGAGATGCAAGGTGTACAACTTGTTTATGGCTTTAGTGCATCCCTATTTTCTTCATCTTACGTATCGTTTTTCATCAGATTTTCTTCTCCAACTTCTTTCTTCGTTTTTGGGTTCGTTAGTTGCGAGGCTAACTCTTTTTATTTCAGTCACGAGATAACGGCGTTTCCTTCCTTTATGGATAACACAAGAGATAAAATTACTACATACACTTCGAAATCGTTATTATCATCACAGAATAAACAAAGAACAAAACCACTACAATTATTTGGTACAACGACAATTCATTCTTTATCAATGAATATCGACACGTTCAGTATCAAAAATTCCTGAAAACGTGTTCATCCCCAAATGATCCCAATACCTTCTGGCGTTTTACGGCCCGATACTTTCAAAAGGTAAATGTTCATATCAGAGGTCTTCAAACAGCCGACGGTGTGGTAGAAACAGATCCAGTACCAGAGGCCAGTATTGATATTGAACGAGAATTAGCTGAAGTCACTGAAAAGTACTTGCAGGAAGAAGCACAAGTATTACAAACAACATACAAAGAGGCGTTAGACACCATCACTCGTATTCATCCAAAAAGAGCAATAGATCCATCTGGAACCTCTAATATGAGTATAAAATAGCTGCCCACATCGTTTTCTTCGATTTTTACGGTTTTGTTTAATAACTTGTTTTCTCGACACTGTGTTCCATCTTGTGAACGGAGAACAAAGAAGAAAAACGCATCGTGTCTATATAAGTAAAATTGAAGTGTAGTAGTTAGCATTATATATATCCGATGTCACAAGTTGCATCTACGTACGAACGAAGCGCTATGTTTCAAAATAAACGATCACTGGCATTAAGTCAATTTTCAGAGATTCAAAGAAAAAAACCACGAAGCAAGTTGTATTTTCTGTGCATATATTCTTTTTTTCAGCAACATTGAACAAAGAAAAGTAAATTAAGTAGCGCAAAATTATTTTTCATTCTAGTGTATTAATCTAATTTCTTCTAGTAATCGAATCACTCGTATCGAAGATTTATCCAATGAATTTTCTACGACATTTGTGAATATCTCGAGGGTTGTGACATTTACAAAGCATTTTCAAATCTGAATTCGCGTTTTCAACATCTCCTTCACTCATCATTTCTAATCAACATTGAATTTATTCTTCATCACAATCAGAACTCGAACACTATTCTAACAATTTCATTATTCGAAACAAACATCGTATTTTCTCACTTCATTTTAAATATTCATCACCCCTCCATGGTTTATTCAGACATTGTATGATTGATTCATCATTTGATTGTCCCGAGTCGATTGTTATCAGTTATATTAGGACGGAAGAATTTGTGATGTTGTTCCTGTACTTGAAATCTTTACCCCGACTCTTCTCATTGATCACACATTTAGATAATGAATGGACTGTTGATCTTGGGATTATTTATCGAATGATCATTACCTACTTTGAAATACAATAGACTGATATATATTTCCGAAAGAGACGTAGCATTAAACATTTGTGTACCTTTTCCTACGAATTAGCGGTTCAGTAATATTGAATACCTACATATTAATCATAACAGCACTTTTGAGGAGCTGTTTTCTATCATTCGTTATACGTCTCAACTTCGTCATTTAACTTCTCTAGTAACTAAAGACTCCCATCATGACTTGTCTGCAACATCCGTCAAATCTAGTCTAAAACGTCTTGCGCACCAGTCTTGACTCGTCGTTTTTTCGAGAAATGTCCAACAAGGGCGTCTAGACTGTCCAAAACGTCTAGAAAACCGTCACGTCTAGCCCTCTTCATCTTCCGACCTAGTCTAGACTAGTCCGAAGAACAGGAAATTATTTTCAAAATATGCCGATAGGTGGATTCGAACATTACACCCGACAGTCTTCTATATCTGACGGGCATCCTGACGGCAGTCGATGATGAAAGGACAGACTGACGTCATTTTATACAGTCGAAGTCATAGAATGACTTCCATTTATCTGCTAGTCAATCGAATATCAGTCGAAGCCAATCGACTTGGACTAGTCTGAAACATCTTTAGTGCTTTCTGGTCTAGTCTAAAGCGTCACATGTACGCATCATGACTAGCCTTTTTTAAATAATGTATCTTTAATCCAGATCCAAACTTATTTAGACTAAAGTGTCCTTTTAGTTTTCTTGAACGGATTAGTAATGGAAAGTCAATGAAGTAGAATGTAATGCAAAGATTTTGTCGACTACTGTATCATTTGTTTATAATAATTGGTATTATTGGTTTCTTTTCTGATTCGAGTAGCGATCAGAAGAGTCTTTCGGAATCATTACTGAAATGAGGGACAGATATACATATTTTGTGCATTTATATTTTGATAGGTCTCATTATATTTTGTACTTTCATGTGCCAAAAATCCCAAAATATCTGTATCGAGATATTAAAAAGTCTCTAAAGCACAATATTTCTCTCTTCGTGAGAAATACTTTTGTTTAGATTTTTCAACTTATTCGGTGCATGAAGTAAATAGGAAAAAAAAAATCAGTTTTCTTTGAAAATATTTAAAATATTTTTTCATGACAATTTTACTTTATTAAAATAACGATTATGATGATCCAAATTGAAAAATATATTTTAATAACTTAATTTAATTTAGTTGACAATTCAAAATGCGCAGTTCAAATTTAAGGTTAAATAAAATTCTGATTTGATCACTATTTAGTTTCCTTTTAATTTGAATAAGTTTAAATTTATGCATCGTCCCTGACGCCCTTCATTTTTCAATTTTAAATAGATTTCAGACGGGCGTCAACGTCCCCAGTCCCGACTAGTCTCAAAAAGTACTAGTCCGAACGTCGATAATGTGTTTGGCTATCGATTTACAAATTAATAGTCATGCACGAGTCGATTTTGTCCGGAAGACTAGTCTGATCGTATCTGATGACGACCGTCCACCACAAGATTAGGACGGGTGCGCATGACGAGTAGAGATTTGGACTAGGCATGGACGAGTCTATTTGGAGACAAAGACTAGTCGCGACGGGATGATATGACTAGAAAAAGGATTAGACTTTTAAACCGTCTCTTGCTCATTTGGGTTATCTTGAGGGTTGATTGCGAATCCGATCGGTACCGAATTAAACTTATTCACATGATTAAATCGATCAGTTTTAACGATTTGAACAAATGCTCTAGAGGAAATGCCGCGCGTAGTCACCAATCACTCAATCAAAAAATGAACTTTATATTCTACTAGCGGAGGTACCCGATGTAGAGTGAGTTGCCTTGAACTTTTCCATCTTTAACAGGACCTTCCCCGCCGTGCATAAATTGAGATGCTTAGTCACACCGACTATATGATGTGAGAATTTAG